AGGATCTTTAGAAAGTCCTGAAGGACCCCAAGAACCACCCTAAGGGCTCACAGATCCTCCTCAATGACCAACAACTAACTTGCAGTTCTGTGGACCAACTTACTTTCAGCAACCACCTTGAGGCCATCTAGTACCACCTACATGAGCTCCAGAATATCATTAATGACCACACACATCTCCCTAAGACACCTACCATCTCCAGGACGACCCACAGTTCTTCCTGAATGTGCCCAAGCGCCACCTTAAAGACCAAAACAGACCTTAAGATTGGCCTCTAGAACATCGTAATGGTCACACAACCTCATTTCAAAATATTTACAACCTCCTTGATCTAACCACAAACCTCAACTATCGCAAAAACTGCCTTAAGGATTCTTATGACCCTCTGAAATACCCCAAGAACCTGCTTAAGGGCTAAAAAGGGACTAGAATCTCCTAGACCAAGGAGCTTTTCATACATGTCCATAAGAGCTGAGAACAATTACCTCAATGACCAAGAACAACTGTGCAGATCTCCAAAACCAATTCAGTTACAACATGAATCAACCCTTGGACACCTATAACCACCCTTAGGACATCTAGAACCCCCATTAGGTCACTTAGAACCACCTGCATAATGTCAGTAATGATTACACAAATCACCTTAAGAACCTCTCTGTCAGGGGGATCAGGTGCTATAGTTAACTATAGTTAACTATAGCTAACTATAATTACCTATAGTCAGCTATAGTTAACTATAACTAGTTATAGTTCCCCAACGCAGGGGTCGACTCCCGCCCACGACCCTTTGCTGCAGGTCTCTCCTCGTTCTTCTCCCCCTTTCCTGTCTCTCTCTACTGATCTAAAAATAAAGGCAAACGCCCCAAAAATATATTTAAAAATCAACAAAGAACCTCTCCATCCTCGTACAGGTCATCATTCCACCTGTCTCTCTGACGTTCTCAGTCACCACTAGACCTGCCGAAGGACCTGCTGTAAGTCATTTCAATAATGTACAGAAGAACTCAACATATACTGCAGCCTCAGTAAGGGTCTCTCCTCGAGAGCAGCTCCAAGCCGGCTGTGATCTGACTGAGAATCTCTCACAGAACCAAACGCTGATCCATGATAAAACCAGTAACACGTTCTGGTTCACAACAAGCTTTTATTACACTTTGACAAACAGAACCAACAGAACCGAAAGCTGCTTGAGGTTTCACTGAAATCAGACAAAATCAAAATGTTGTTTACATTTTGGAAGAACAAGTTTCATCGACAGAAAAAGTGCTTTCATTGACTTTGTTCATTGTCCTGTGAGGAGGAGGTTCCAATAAACTCCACTCCTCCATCTGTCACACAGAAGGAGCTGCTCCTGAAGCCCTTCATGCTGCAGGAGGAGGAGGAGGAGGAGGAGGAGGTGCAGCGGACGATGAAGACTTGCCGCCTCCTCTGCTCCCTGCTGCCTCTTGCTGCGGCGGCCATGTTTTCTGCTGGATCTTGCCTGGAGCAGAGCAGCCGGTGGGTGACCAGCCGCTGCCAGGGGCGGCACAGGTACGACCCTGAGGGGGCGGGTCCGCTGGAGCTCCTCCTGATGGCGTGGCAGGTGGCGAAAACGGTCACTCTGTAATCCCTGAGAAGGAGCCACAGATGAGAACGTTAGTGAGATGCTGACTGGAACTCTGCTCCCCTCACCAAAACAGGTTGACTAAGACCAACTCACAATCCGTGTACTAGCACCCCCTCAAATCATCTAAAGTACGTCTAGACCCTCCTCAGTGTCCACTAAAACACTCTCAAAGACCACTAGAACCTCATAAAGGCGTGTTACAGCCTCTTATGGGAACATTAGATTCACCTCACAAACCAGCAGAACATCCATCTGGATCAGTAAAGCACAAGGACCACGAGGACCTTTCAAACAACTGGGACCTGCCATTTGACAACTAGAACCTCTACAAAAGGACCAGTTGAGAATCTCACTTGACCATTAGAACCTCCAAAGTGACCACTCGAACCGTCTACTGGAATATAAGGACCTACTAAAACACAAGAAGAAGAGTCTACTGGTCTACTCCAACCTTTTGAAGGACCACTGGACAGGGGGCCTCTAGAACCTTCTACTAAAACAATAAAACCCACGAGAATCTTGAACTGGACCTCGCCAACTACATCAGTAGTATCTATTAAATGACCACTGGAATATCCTGAAGGACCACTAGAACTTCTTTATATATATATATGTTGGGATTTTGCCTTTCTGTAGAGCAGTAGAGACAGACAGGAAAGAGGGGAGAAGAACGGGGAGAGACCTGCAGCAACGGGTCGTGAGCAGGAGTCAAACCCACGACCGGGGCGCCCTGGACCACTAGAACTTCTTGAAGGACTAAGAGAACCTCGGAAAGGACTAATTCAGCTGGAATGTTACAAACTCCTAAAGAACCGATGGAACATCCAGCTAGACCAGCGAAACCCCCTGAAGGACCACTCAAACCTCCGACTGGAACATGAGAGCCTCCTGAAGAACCAGTAAAACATCCAAATGGACAGCTAGAACCTCGTGATAGAACACTCACCTGAGCAGTCGTCCCAGCAGCTCGGCACACTTGCTAAGTTTCTCCTCTTGCTTGGCGACGCTAGCCCCGCCCTCGCAGCGGTCCAGCCAATAGAAGGCCGAGATGCTGTCGATGAGGAGGAGCGCCAGGCTGGGCCGCGATGACAAGGAGGTCTCCAGGAAGTGTAGGGTGAGGAGGAGCTGTGAGGAGGAGGAGCAGTGAACAACGAGGAGGCGGGACAGACACGAGCGTAGCGCCGCCTCCTCCGATCCGGCCGAGGAGGAGCTGGTGGACAGAGCTGCAGACACACATCCACAGAGAACACATATTCAACTACTTCCATTTTTACAGCCTCTACAAACTCTCGGTTTTTCCTCCTTTCTGTTGTTTTCTCGTATCTTTTGGTTTTCTTCGCTTCTCATCATTTTGCGTCTCATCTTTCTTTTGCCTCTTGTTTTTGTTCATCACATTCGGTCATTTTTGTCTTGTAAGTATCGACTTGTGTCTCTTTCTTTGGGACAGTCTTTGATCTATTTTTGTATTTTATTTCTCGTTTTTGTTGTCTGTCTTTTATTTTTTTGTTGTTTGTGTTTCGTTAATGTGCCTTTGAGACCGCTTTGTCTAGTTTGTGTTGCTTTGGGTCTAATTTTTTTTTGTGTGTCTTATCTTCGGTGCAGAGTGACACAGTCTGAATGACAGAAATCATTAAAAAGAAAAACTAAAGTTGAATTTATTTGATTGATTGTTTCACAGAAATGTTCAAAACTTGAAATCAACATGTCAGGGTTCAGCGGGTTAAAGAGTTCACTGTAATGTAAATGCATCTAAATGTTGTGTAGTGTTCCTGGTGGTCACAGTGTGCAGGTGTGTACCTGTGCTCAGCCTGCTGTCCAGGATGCTGACCAGGCGTAACATGTCCAGACTGTAGTCAGTGTCCACAAACACCACGTCCACCTCCAGACCGCCGGCCGCCTCCGGCAGCACACAGCGACACAGCAGGTGGTACAGCAGCTCTGTCTTACCTGAGACACACACAGGTTCCAGGTGGGCGGTGCAGTTCAAACACACAGGTGCCTCCAGTGCCGTGAACTCACCTGTGCCTTCCGTCCCGCACAGCTCCACCACCTCACCTGGCGGAGACAAACACAGACATGTGAGCTGCACACAGCACAAGTCAGTAACACGGTCAGCTTCTGATTTTGGCAGGGTGTGGTCAGTCACCATGGTCTGGTCCCCCATCTTCAGGAAACAGATGAGGTTCGATGTCCTTCAGGCAGCGCCGACCCTCCAGACGAGCAAACAGCTGCAGAGACAAACAGCTCTTCAGCCGTTCTTTATGCACAGCAGCAGCCTGTACACTATAGCAGCCTGTACCGACAACCAGTGTTAGTGCCAACAGTATTAATGCTAACTGTATTAGTGCAGGGCTGCAGGTGTCTCAGTGGTTAGCACCGTCGCCTCACAGCTAGAAGATCGCCGGTTGGCGTCCCGGTGAGGACACCCGGGATCTTCCTGCGTGGAGTCTCCATGTTCTCCCCGTGCAGCGTGGGTTCTCTCCGGGTTCTCCGGCTTCCTCCCACAGTCCAGAAACATGCTGAGGTTAATTGGTGATTGTAAATTGTCCGTAGGTGTGAATGTGAGTGTGCTTGGTTGTCTGTCTCTAAGTGTAGCCCTGTGATAGACTGGTTACCTGTCCAGGTGAACCTGCCTTCACCCTGAGTCAGCTGGGATAGGCTCCGCCCCCCATGACCCCAGTGAGGATTAAGGTGTAGAGATGATGGATGGATATGTATTAACAGTATTAATGCTAACTATTTTAATGATAACAGTACTAATGCTAACTATATTAGTAATAGATATACTATATTAGTCAAATATAACACTGTATAACACAGTATTAGTGATAACTATATTATTCCTGTTCAAATACAGCACTATTAGGGCTAACAGTAATAATGCTAACTATATATATACGGTTTTAATCAAATCTAACACTATTAGGGCTAACAGCATTGGGGAACAGTATTATAATTCAAAGCATTAGTGCTTAAAGTAATAATTCTAACAGTTTTAATGCTTCAGTATGAACGTTAACAACTTTGGTGCTACTAACGGTAACAATGCTAGTGCTAACAATAACACTGCTAAAAGTCATGATGCCAACTGCTGCTGCTCTGCTGCTGACTGGAAGCGCAGGACTCTTACTCTGAAAGAACCGTGCAGTACTAGAGCGGGGATTTCAGCTCGAGCGGAGTCACGAGCTGAAGCTGCCGGTGACCGGTCCGCGCGGACGCTCCGGTCACACGTGACCTACGAGGTTTTCTCACCTGAGCGCCGCTTTCAGTCATTTCAGAGAGATCTTCATCGCTCCTGCTCCTTCTTCTTCTGCGGCTGCTTGAATTCATTTCCGGTCCCCGCCGCTTTACCGTAAAGGCGGCAGGGTGCCGCAGTACCGTAATGTTGGTGACAGTCCGCAGCGACCTCTAGAAGGCGCCAAACAGAGTTTAAACTGTTGTCACGAGGCTCGACAGATCAAAGCACTTGACAGTAACACAGCCGCCAGAAGTGCACACAGACTTTGTGTTGCATCAACCAGAAAACAACACGTCTGATGTCATCAATGACAGTGAGGTGTGTACTGCTGAGCCTCACCGTCAGAGGGCGCGCTGTGACGCTCTGCACCTGTCAGTGACCAGGTAGGGCTGGCTGGACACGGCTGTCTGTCTGACCACGCGACCCTCGGTGTCTGTGAGGTCATGTGACCTGTCTGTCTCTTTGAAGCCTCAGACCTATCAATCACCTCTGAAGCCCCGCCCTCAGACTCACAGTCACTCACGACCTTTTTTGGTCTTCCTGTTTTCGTCCTCTAGGTTTGTTTGCTGCGTCCTGATTGGTCCGTTTCGCTGCGAGTGGACCACGTGACGGCTCCTCTGACTCCACGAGGTATCTGATTGGTGGACCTACTGGATCAATAAATAAATACAGCACGGCTCACAAACGGTTAACTTGTGTACTTTTACTCCTGATACTTTAACTACTTGTGTACTTGTACTGCCGTTACTTTAAGTACATGAAGCTGAGGTACCTGTGTACTGTTACCTGGGTGTTGTCATTTTTGGAGTATTTTCACATCATTTCAGCGGTACTTTTACTTGAGTACAGGCTCTTTGTACTTCTCCCAGCTCATCGTGGTCTGAGGGTTCGTCAGCGATCAATAGCATCGATCAGTAATCAGCAGAGCCGGCTCAGTGATCAGATTTATTCATCAGCATCAAACCAACACCATCAGACTGGACTCCCTGCCTGTCGGGTCCAAACAGCAGCTCAGCACCGGCGGCTGCAGGTGAGCCAATCAAACACGCCTCTGTGACTTCAGCAGGTGAGAGAACACCTGAACAAGATGGCGACGCCCAGCCCTCCAGGAGGAAGGCTCTGGTTCTACTGGATCAGAGCCAGGAGGAGGAAGGCTCTGGTTCTACTGGATCAGAGCCAGGAGGAGGAAGGCTCTGGTTCTACTGGATCTGAGTAGAAACAGTTTGTTTTGGTGCCGCTGCTGTAGCTCATCTGGTTGAGCTGGCGACCCATGTACCGGGGCTACAGTCCTGATGCAGCAGTCGTGGGTTTGAATCCCGCCCACGGCCCTTTGCTGCAGCTTCTTCTCTCTACCGTCCTGTCTGTCTCTCTACCGTCCTGTCTGTCTCTCTATGCAGATTAAAGTGGTTCAGATGAATCATCAGGATTTCAGATCTGCTCGTTTTCCCTGATCAGTGATGAAGGTCATTTCTGGCGTTTTGTAGAAGACGACACGTCTGAAGCCTGCCGGCAGGTTTTGGGCTTCAGCAGAGACACGCATGTGCATCAACCACTGCTGGACGGTACTGATTCACATGATCGGACCTGAACCAGCTGCCGGTGCTCCCAGTGTTTGGACCCGACTCGGTTCTCTCAGGATGTACAGCAGATATTTACAGTATACATATATCTATATATATATATGTGTGTGTGTGTGTCTATAGAAGTTATGAATATAGGTGATCTGTCAGGTCTTTACAAATATAAACAGTCTGAGTGCAGCAGATCCAGACTTACATCAGTCAGCAGTCAGTCACAAACACCAGCGAGAAACCATGAAACCAGCTGCTGCCTGCACACGGACCACAGAGCCGCCCTCCACTGGTCTGGACTCTGCTCCTCCAGCTGGAAGCACAGTTCCAGCAGACTGTCGGCGTGTTTCCTGCAGCTCTGGTGCTTCAGGCTGCAGGACGGACGACTGCAGTCGCTGAGCGTGTTCATGGTAGCTACCGGTCCAGCACAAGTTCAGCATCATGTGGTAGAAAACAGTCACGTACAACTGGTGGCGTGACGTAGTGTCACACTGAATCTGAACATACGTGTTTCATGTGTGTGAGTTCTGACCTGAGTTCTGACTCAGTCTATGTGTTTTGAAGGAAGTCGTTTTGACCTCATACAGAAAACGCCTGGATTACAGAACAAGCTGCTCATCACATATCTCATAAAGGTCGCCGACTGGGACCCGTCTCACCTCAATAACTGCATTAAGAACAATAAAAAAACACTTTATAAAGACTACGGTGAAAATTCAGCTCCAACGTAGAAACCCAAAGAACCAAAGTGAGTCCAGCTGTGGTTTCTACCTGTATGAACATGGTTCTACTATGAGCTAAGAACAGCAGAAGTCAGTGTGAAGGACACTTCAGAACATCAGCCTCTATGGACGGAGGA